CATCTTCTCAGATCACAGTGGCATGAAATTAAAATCAACTATAGTAAAAACACCCAAAAACATTCAAATACATGGAGGCTAAATAGCATGTTATTAAACAATGAATGGGTTACCATTGACATCAAGGGAGGAAAAAAAAAAAAAAAAAAAAAAAAAAAAAAAAAAAACAACTTCCTGGAAGCAAATGAAAATGCACACACAACAACCAAAAATCTGAGACAGAGCAAAAGCAGTCCTGACAAGGAAGTACATAGCACTATAGGCCTACCTCAAAAAAACAACAAAAATTAATAATAAACTATTTAACCCTATAACTTATAGAACTCGAAAGGGAACAACAAGAAAAGCCCAGGGTAAGTAGAAGGAAGGAAATAATAAAGATTAGAGCAAAAATAAATGACATAGAGACCAAAAAAAGTACAAAAGATCAATGAAGCCAAGAGCTGGTTCTTTGAAAAGATAAATAAGATTGATGAACCATTAGCCAGACTCATCAAGAAACAAAGACCCAAATATGTAAAATCAAAAATGAAAGCAGCAAAGTAACAACTGACACAATAGCAACACTAAGAATTGAAAGAAAATACTATGAACAACGATATGCCAACAAGCTGACTATATAAATGAAATGGACAAATTCCTAGAAAAATACCACCTCTAAAAACGGAATCAGAAAAACCTGAATAGGCCAATAACAATGGAAAAAATTGAGTCAGTAATTTGAAAATTCCCAGCAAAGCAAAGTACTGGTCCAGATGGTTTCACAGGGGAGTCTTACTAAACATTCAAAGAAGTAACACCTATACTCCTCAAACTATTTCAAAAATTTCAGTTTGAACTTCTTTCTATGAGGCAAACATTATCTTAATCCCATAAACAAATAAAAAACACTATATGGAAAGAGAACTGCAGGTCAATATCCTTGATGAACATGGATAATAAAACCCCCAACAAAATATTAGCAATTTGGATGCAGCAATATATTATAAAGATCATGACCAAGTGGGACTTATTCCATGAATGCAAGGCTGTTACAAAACTCTTAACTCAATAAACATGATATATCATGTAAGTAAACTGAAAGACAAAAATCACATGATCCTATAGATACAAAAAAACTCATTTTTAAGAAAATCAGTTGATAAAAACTCTCAGCAAAGTGGGAATAGAGGGATCATATCTCAACATAACAAAGGCCATGCATGACAAACCTACAGCAAACATCACACTCAATGGGAAAAAACTAAGATCATTTCCCCTAAGAACAGGAACAAGATAAGGATGTCTGCTTTCACCACTCTTATTCAAAATATCCTGGAAGTCATAGCCACAGGGATCAGCCAAGAAGAAATAAAAGGCATCCAAATTGGAAAGGAAGAGATAAAACTGTCATTTGAAGATGACATATATTATACACAGAAAGTCCTAAAGACTCCATAAAAAAATTACTAGATTTAATAAGTGAATTTGGCATTGCAGCAAGATACAAAATTAACACCCAGAAATCAATGGAATTTTTACACACCAATATTGAATTCTCAAAAAAAGAAACTAAACAATTATTTTCATTTACCACTACAACAAAAAAATTAAGATACTTAGGAATAACTCAACCAAGGAGTTGTAAAAGACTTGTACTACAGGATATTGAAAAAAAGAGAATAAGGAAGATATAAACAAGTAGAAGAATATATCATGTTCATGGACTTGTAGGATTAACATCCCTATTAAAATACCAACAGCACTATTTCACAGATCTAGAACAAATACTCCAAAAATTTATATGGAACCAAAAAAGACCTTGAATAGCCACAGCAATCTTGAGAAAGAAGAATAAAGTTGAAGGAATCCCAATACCAGAAATCAAATTATACTTTAAAGCCACTGTGCTCAACACAGCCTGGTACTGGCACAAGAACAGGCATATAGATCAATGGAACAGAATAGAGAACCCAGAAATCAACTTAAGACATTACACTCAATTAATATCTAACAAAAGGCAGCAAGAATACACAGTGACATCAAGACAGTCTCTTCAATAAATAGTGCTGGGAAAATTGAAGATACAAAATGAAAAATATAACACCACCTTATATCATATACAAGAATAAACTCAAAATGGATAAAAAAAAAAAAAAGACTTAAATGTAAGTCATTAAACCATAAAAATATTAGAAGAAACTATAGGCAACAAAATCTCAGACATCTCTCGTAACGAAGTAGAGAGAACATAATTCAGCAGAAAAGTGTCACAGGTTTTTTAAGGGAAAAGTTCATCAGCATTGTTTGTTCCTAAGTAAATCCCAATTTTGTTCCCTTTAAGGAATCTTAAATTTTTCAAGGGCAGAGGTCTTTCTAGCATCTTACAGTTGTTTTCAAAGAGTTTACACACTGTAGCATCCCCTTAAATTTTCTAGAAATAAGTTACGTGGGCACACTATACCTTATAAAGAGGTGAACAAAGTTATCTCTATTTTATAAAGTGGAAATGAAACTTTCTTGTACTCAAGTAAGTGACCTGGCATCCCAAATTAAAACATGGGTACAAGTGGGACTACAGCGCAAACCGGTTTGGCTCAATGGATAGAGCGTCGGCTTGGGGACTGAAAGGTCCCGGGTTCGATTCCGGTCATGGGCATGTACCTTGGTTGCGGGCATATCCCCAGTAGGGGGTGTGCAACAGGCAGCTGATCGATGACTCTCTCTCATCGATGTTTCTAACTCTCTATCTCTCTCCCTCTCTGTACAAAATCAATAAAATATATATTTTTTTAAAAAAATTTTTTAATTTTAAAAATAAATAAAATTTAAAAAAAGAAGTGGGACTTTACAGCATAGGTCATTTACCTTTCCTTGTTAAACTCAAATATGTCTTACTATAATAAACTACATTACAACAGGTTTAACATTCTCTACTCAGACAGGAATGAAATAAAACAAACAAAACTGCTCATTGCTGTTTCTTTCATTTTAAAAAAGGTAAGAAGCTAAGAGAGTGGTTCATTAACACTTTCATCACACGGCATTCTAGGAATACATTTCCTTTAAAACAGCATTACAAAGTAATCCAAAATATTTCCTCTCCATTTCATTCATTTCAATATTCCTAGATAACCTAAAACGAAGCCAAATTTCCTTCATTATTGTAGGAAGAGAAAGTGATGCCATTCTTGTTTAGCCTAATTGACAAATAGTTAGGTTTTAACAAGAGATTACATTCAATCCCCATCAAGAGTAAAGAGACAGAAGTGCCTATTATACACCAAAAATTAAACAAACTGATCAAACAACACAAACTCACTATCACCAGTAACTTCTTATCTAATAAAAGAGCAAAATGCAAATTGACCACACCTCTGCTATACCCACCAGCCACGTCCACCAGCCAATCAGAGCAAGTATGCAAATTAACCCCAACCAACATGGCTGCCACCACAGAGAGCAGGAGGAAGGCTTGGGTTTCCCAAGCAATGAAAGAAACCAAGCTGTCCGCCTGCCCTTGCCAGCCTAAGCCTCCACTCAAGGCTACAAAGTTTCAATTAGAGAAGGTAAATAAATCCAAACAGAAATGGCGGCAGCCATGGAGCAAGCAGAAGGCTTGATTCTGTTCCAGGCTATAAAGTTTCAATTGTAAAGATAAATAAACTCCAGATACCAGGGCCTCCACTTGGGTCACCGGGGAGCATGGCTGGCCTGCAAACCACCACAAGCACCTCGCCCAGGCCTCCCCATGCCCCAAGGGAACTCCCACCCTGATCCGGGACACCCTTCAGGGCAAGCCAGCTGACCCTCACCTGTGCACCAGGCCTCTATCCTATCTAATGAAGAGTAATATGCAGATTGACCATCACTCCAACACACAAGATGGCTGCACCATGTGGTCAAAGATCCTGTCCCCATGTGGATAAAGATGGCCACCACAAGGTGGCCAGCAGGGGAGGGCAGTTGAGAGGGACAAGGCCTGCAAGTGAGGGCAGTTGTGGGTGACCAGGCAAGCAAGGGAGGTCAGTTGGGAGGCACCAGGCCTGCAAGGGAGAGCAGTTGGGGGTGATCAACTTTGCAGGGGAGGGCAGTTATGGGTGACCAGGCCAGCAGAGGAGGGAAGTTGGGTGCAAACAAGCTGGTAGGGGAGCAGTTAGACATCAATCAGGCTGGCATGGGAGTGGGTAGGGGGTGATCAGGCTGGCAGGCAGAAGTGGTTAGGGGCAATCAGGAAGGCAGGCAGGCAAGCAGTTGGGAGCCAACAGTCCTGGATCGGGCCTAAACGGGCAGTTGGACATCCCTCAAGCGGTCCCAGATTGGAGAGGGTGCAGGCTGAGCTAAGGGATACCACCACCTCCTCTCCTCCCCGGCCCCTGTGCATGAATTTCGTGCACTGGGCCTCTAGTCCTAGCTAATAAAACCCTAATATGCAAATTGGTCGCTATGACACGCACTGACCACCAGGGGGAAGACACTTATACAGGAGCTGCCCAATGGTCAGTCCGCTCCCACAGAGGAGCAATGCTCAGCCAGAAGCTGGGCTCATGGGTGGCGAGCACAGCGGCAATGGCAGGAGCTGCTCCCGCCTCTGCTGCAGGTGGGCAATAAGAAGCGAGAGATCCCAGACTACAAGAGCCCTGGACACAAGAGGGCGCAGACTGGGCTGAGGTACACCTGCCATAAGCACATGACTTTCATATAAAACACAAAGCTTTCCAGAAGTATGAGGAGAGGTGGTTCCACTTTGTGTTTAAAACCTAATGTCTAGAACCCTGAACCAAGCGCAGAACAAAGAGGTAGAGAGCATCATCTACCTGGAGGCGTGGAGCCTGGGCAGAGCAGCTGTGCAGAGGACAGGCAGGAGAAGCTATCATGTGTGCAGACAGGAGCTGAGCTTTGTGCTCTCAACAGGTCGCCTCTTATAACATTCATAAACTCACTTCCAGGATGAGCAGAACTGAGACTACAATATCTACGTGTAAAACCTAGATGCCCAGGTCTTCTGGGAAACAGCCTACCTGTAACCGCTGAAATACTCCTGATCGCAGGCCTCCAAATCCATAGTGGCCATGCGGGTACAGAACACTTTCTGGCACCTCTTCATAGGGGGACTGTTCAATTTCCCAGTCAAAGTCTTCATCATCATCTTCTACTCCTTCCTCAGAAGCACCTAAATGTGTTAAATATTAACTTTTTAAAATACTGGATTTCCTAGGTACCACTCAGGGAAGAAAAAAATGGAAGGAAAATGACTGCCTGTGTTGTACTAAAACACAGTAAAAGAATATTCATATACTAGTTAGCAAAAAAATGGAAAAAAAAAACACACAATCCACTCATGATAGGATGTAGGAATAATACAGAAAAAACAAACAGACCTCAGCCATATATTTATAAATCTCACAAAAATGTTAAGTGACAGAAGCCAGTCAAAAATGAACACATACTGTGAAATTATATTTATATACAATTCAAAAACAGGCAAAACTGAAGACAGTGGGTACCTTGGAGAGGAGGAGGGACCAAGGAGGATTCCAGGTTACTGGAAATGTTCCATTTCTACTCTAATATTGGTGTTCACTTTATGTAACTCACTGAATTGTACACTTCTAATTTTAGCTCAAGTGGCCAATATTTTGCCAGACCGAGATGCTATTTTAATATATTAAAAAATATGACTGACCTACTGGTTCAATGGAGTTCTTTATGTCTTTAAATTATATGTTGCCGTCCTGATCGGTTTGGCTCAGTGGACAGAGCGTCGGCCTATGGACTGAAAGGTACCAGGTTCGATTTTAGTCAAAGGCATGTACCTTGGTCGTGGGCACATCCCCAGTAGGAGGTGTGCAGGAGGCAGCTGATTAATGTTTCTCTCTGATCAATGTTTCTAACTCTCTATCCCTCTCTCCTCCTCTCTGTAAAAAAATCAATAAAATATATTTTTTAAAACAAATTATATATTGCCAAATAAGCTATTTTCACATAACGTACCTTGTCACTTGAAGTATTTTCTCCAATCTCCTATTTGCTATATTCTTTTCCCCTGGAAATATACAATATTCCAAATATTCTGCTTTTTTGTTGTTGTTTCAAATGCAATAAACATACCTATTTCCTCCACCAGTGGTTTTGCAGTCCTGGATTTTCTTGGTGCCAGAAGCGCAGTTAACATGTTCAGCCCCTCAAAATGCTGACCAGGAGTTTCTTTGGGTAACTGAATGGTAAAAATTCCTTAAACATAAATTTGTTTTATGGTTAACAAGATTAAAATACTTAAAAACTTCACAAATATATCTATGTAATATGTATGTTTAGATATAATTCTATTTTATAGAGCTCCAAAACTATGGCCTTACATAAGTTTAGTGACTAAAAATCAGAAAAGTTCCAACTGGGTTTTTCAGAACCACTAATTCAGCTGTCACCACTATAAGAAAGTAATTTGTTAAAGCTGCTGAATACTTTAGTCTTACTGCAATATCACCCTAACTATTGATAATATTAAAATTCCAAAACTCAATAGCCTGAGAGGGTAACAGCAGCTTCTTATAAAATGTATTTCTGGACTAGGGAGGCAAAAAAAAAAAAATCAGGATACATTATCCTATACAGAATAGCACCAATTTCAAAAATACATAAAAGCAGTTATAGCTTAATAAAATCCTTTACTATCTTAGGAACTACATTCCTAAAGTCAGTCTAAGGCAGATATAAATTATACCTATGTACTTCTTTTCTTTCCTTGACTGGGTTTATCAAACTTCAACTAAGCTCAGCTATGAACTCATTACATTTTAAAACATTTTATTCTTTCAGTGAACTAAACCTTATCTAAATATATCAAGTGCAATTAACCCAAAATATTTCCACATATAGCAACCTTCCTCAAGTCCTATGTCCTTTTAAAATGTAATAACAACTTATGTGCAATTAAAAGCAGATTTAAACCTAGGAAGGCAGTTTTATTATACTTCTTTATCACATTAATTATATTGCACTATTGTCACTTAACACTGTCATCCCATCTTTCCTCCCTTTCCCTAGTTCATGAAGGCAATAGATAATACTCCCTGGGTAAATTACATAAGAGCACACAGCGTATTCTTATTCCTACCTAATAACAAACTACTTACATAAAGAGAAAAAATGTTTGTAGGGCTAGCTGAATGACTTATTCACAAGAAGAAAATTCTGTCAGCCTTTAAATGCCACCTATGAACAGCTTCTTTCTCATCTACACATAACTAAATTTTAAGTTTGAAAGTGTACAAGAAAGATTTGATTCACAGCTAAAATCATCTATGTCATCTATTGCCTCACACAAGCAGAGTGTTAAGTTTACTATGAAGAATACTGTGAAATACTTTCAAAGACTAAAAAAATTGTCAATTTTAAGAAACCCATGAATAACAGCATTTGACACTGAAAAACTTTAGTCATAGGGACAGACTGCACTTGCAATACATGTAATTGCAAGTGCATCTCTTTATTATTAGAGATCCTCACAGTATCTCTAATAATAAAAGCATAACATGCAAATCGACTGAACAGCTGAAAAGCAGAACGACCATCCAGACAACCTTCTGCACAAAGCCGGGGCTGTGAGGGCATACGCTTGCATGAATTTTGTGCATCAGGCCTCTAGTCTTAAAAGATTTTTACACAGTAACATTAACATGAAGAATCCAAAGAACAAAACTAACAAAATCTCCGAAGTAAATACCTTTATCTGCATCATAGGACCCTTTTTCACTTCCATTTTCTACAATTCTCCCAGGAAGAGTTAATCTGCAAATTTAATATAAGAGCTCATGAAGACCTCAAACTACAAAATATAAGTGATCAGTATACATTGAAAACTGTCAACCATTTTAAAAGGAAATCCTTCAGCTGAAACCGGTTTGGCTTAGTGGATAGAGCATCGGCCTGCAGACTCAAGGGTCCCAGGTTTGATTCCGGTCAAGGGCATGTACCTTGGTTGCGGGGACATCCCCAGTGGGAGGTGTGCAGGAGGCAGCTGATAGATGTTTCTCTCTCATTGATGTTTCTGACTCTCTGTCTCTCTCCCTTCCTCTCTGTAAAAAATCAATAAAATATATTTTTTTTAAATAAATAAATAAATAAATAAAAGGAAGTACCTCAGCATTTAACATTTTAGAAAGTAAATAACAGATTTCTTTCCTAAGATTTTAAAAAAATTAGAGATGACTTCTCTGTCTAAATACTACTACTCATCGATAAAATACTTAGAGGAAAGCCACAGTGTAGCTATCACCATTGTGACAGTACTCCCACTCCCTGATGAATGCGCTATTTATGTGCCTGGGGCCTGCCACAGCATGCACCCAATAAAAGCAGAGTAATCGGCTACCAGAAAAGAGGGGTGAGGGACAACAAGGAACAACAAAACCAATTGTTTGCATTGGGCAAATTACTACTAAGAGAAAAAAAATGTTTTTCTAAAATCTTATAATTACTCTATGGGGATTTTCTTTTCTTTCATACAATGAACTGATTCCTGTTTCCAGTTTTACTCTGGTTCTGTCAATCTTCCATTGAGGCCCTAAAATAATTCTTCTAAAGTAGAAGTCAGGACTACAGGGAATTCGAACATGGCCAAAAAGACAGCAGGGAGGGAGAGAGGGACAGAATAAAGGATAAGGGGTGTGTGTGGACAAGGGTGGTATGTGTGGGGTGAATGAGGGACAGATAGCTATCTCAGGAATCCCAGGGACTGACAGACTGGGCTCTCCTAGACAGGCTACCGCCAGGAGCACTCCAAGGCCAGCGCAGCATTGGCACCAAACCCACGCCATCTTGTAGAGGGGAGCAACAGAGGCTATGAGTACAGCCATGCCAACATCCACACCGACCTCAGATACCATCCCTGGACTTGTGGGGGAGCCACTTGCCAGCCATGACCTGTGTGAAGCCACCACTGCTAAGTGCCCGGCAGTGAGCAGCCGAGGCACCACACCATGGGTCCCAACCTTCTGCGGAGTGCATGCCAGAAAGACCTGCTGAGCACCTCCTCACAGGAGCCCATCCTGCATTTCAGGTCCCACACGGCAAGTGCAAGCCAGGGATAGCCCACACCCCGCTCCATCTCTGGTCCCAGTATAGAGCTGTCACCCTGGCACGCATCCCACCCCAGGCCCAGGTCAGAGCTACTGGTATGAACTAGTGTGCCCAGCCACATGTCACAGGACCACACTGCAAGTGCGCTGCCAAAGAGATCTAGGGCACCATCCTGCCTTGGTGCTGGGGCTGCACAGTGCAGTGCATGCCAGAGGGCTTTGGGCCCTGTCAGAAAGTCCCACGCCAGAGGAACTGTGCAGTCACCCTGCCGACTGCAAGAATCTAAAGTGGACGATGGAGGTACCAGACCGTGGGAGGAGTTAGAACTCAGAAGAGAGACAATAAAGGTGTGAAACTCAAGACAGACCCAGTCCCCAGGCTAGCTAGGGTAAGCATGTCAAACTTGTGGCTTACAGGTCACATGCAGCCCACAAGAAATATTTTTGTGGTCCAGCCAATATAATGGTAAAAAAAGTTTTAATAAAAATTCTGTAACTTAATTTTTACAATATCCTGTCATACATAATTATTAATAACAAACTACAATGTTCACTAATGACTAATCACTATAATCGTGTTGCATTTATTTCCCTTGCATGCAGGCACACCATTTCTCTCCACAAATACTAATAGTGAATATTTTAGCAGCCAACTGCCATATCATTAGTCTTGGATTCATTTGTTTGGTGTGCACAACAGGAAATATTTCGCTTTCAGAGAACAAGAAAAATAGGTTTATTTGCATTATGCTTATTAATTTGTGCAGTTATTCAGTGTCTGGTAAGATAATATTTAAGAAAATACTAATTTTAATAAAATGTCCTATTATTCTATGTTAATGATTACTCATTTATTTCAGCCTTTTATATTCACCACGTCTCTATCAAAATAAATCTACATTTCTATGAAAATTGAAGCTTTTGTTTTTTTTGCGGCCCAAACAAACTTAAACTTTATTTTGCCCTTCGAGTTTGACATGTTTGTGCTAGGGGCTTCAACCCCTCAGACCCTAAGCAGGGAGCCCAGGACCAAAAATAGACAGAAAAAATGGGGAGACAGAGAAACAACCCCCAAAAGAAAGAAAAGTCAGAAAAGGAACTAAATGAAATGGAAGTAAACAATATATCAGAGAAAGAATTCTGCATAATGGCCATAAAGTTCCAAAACTGGCCGGATGAGAAAATCAACAACATATGTAAGAACTAAGTCCAAATGAAGAATTTATATAGCTACAATAAAGAACACAATGGAAGGTTTCAACAGTAGACTAGAAGCTGAGCAGTAACTGGAGAAAAAAATTCAAAAGCACAATGGTAAGATATGTACACAGATAATAATTTAATTTAAAAAAATTCAAAAGCAGGAGGATAGCTTAAGGGAGCTTTGGAACAACATGAAAAGAAGCAACATTCATATAATAGGGGTGCCAGAAGGACAAGAAGAGGAGCAAGGATTATATTAGGTCTACTAATAATTAATGTCGTTTTCTAATACTTTTTTAAATCGAATTTATTTAAACAATACAACAAAATTTAATCAACAATATAGTTGCCGTTGTTTTCTACTACTTGTGCCCAACGCTCAGGAAGCATTTTAATCTCTCTGTTGTAAAATTCTTGTGATTTTGATGCAAAAAATTCGGTCAATGCATTTTTGAGACATTCTTCATTATTAAATTTTTTTCCAAGAAGAAAGTTTTGCAAAGAACGAAACAAATGGTAAACGGAAAGGGCAATATCAGGAGAATATGCAGGTTGAGGGAGAACTTCCCATTCCAACTGGCGCAGTTTTTCAGCAGTGATTCTTGCAGTATGCGGTCGTGCGTTATCGTGGTGAAGAATTACGCCCTTCCGATTAATCAGCGCGGGTTCTTTTTCTCTTAAAGCTTGGGCTAACCTTTCCAATTGGGCACTATACACTGCACTTGTAATGGTTTGGTTAGATGGAAAAAGTTCATAATGAAGAATTCCTTTAAAATTCCACCAAACACACAACATCACTTTTTTGGCATGCAAGTCAGGTTTTGGTGTGGGCTGCGGAGCCTCATTTTTGTCCAACCATTGAGGCCGCCTTTTCAAATTAACATACAGCACCCATTCTTCATCTCCGGTAACAATTTGCTCTAAAAACGGCAAACGGTTTTGACGAGAGAGGAGCGAACTGCGAATTGTGACTCTTTGATTACGGTTGTTGTCGGTCAACTCATGAGGAACCCATTTTCCAAACTTTTGGACTTTGCCAAGTGCACGCAATTGATTGGAAATTGTTTTTTGTGAACAATTTAAAGTTGTCGTAAGCTCTTGTTGGGTAATTTGAGGATTTTGCACCAAAAGAGCTTGAAGAGCTTCTTGATCAAAATTGGACACACGGCCTCGACCACTCTTGTCATCTAACGAAAAATTTCCCTCACGAAATTTCTCAAACCAACGCTGGCATTTTCTGGCGCTTAACTGCATCTTGACCAAGAGCACTACAGATGTTTTTTGCAGCCTCACTTGCTTTTCTTCCTAATTGGAACTCGTAAAGCATGCAGTGCCGAATATGCTCTTCATCCGCCATCTTCTTAGCCCTAGTTTTGCAACAAAAACCAAACCAAACACAAACTTTTTCAAGCAAAACTTGTTAATTGCACTTCACACGTTCTATAGATACCACGTGTTTGAAGGTTATGTCAATACAAGTCAACGCCAAGCAAGATTTTAAACGAATGTTAAAAAACGACATTACTTATTACTAGACACAATAAAAATTATCTGAAGAAATAATGACAGAAAATTTCCCTGATTTGGGGAAGAAAAGTCACAAAAGCACAGTGTCCCAAACAAGATGAATTCAAAAAGACCCACACCACCACATGTAATTAAAATGGCAAACATTAGTGACAAAGAGAGAATCTTAAGAAATGCAAAAAAACACAGAAAGTTATCTATTATACAAGGGATCTTCCATTAGATTATCAAATGATTTCTCAACAGAAACACAGCAGACCAGAAGTGAATGGAATGAAGTATACAAAGCAAGGGACTGAATCCAAGAACACTCTATCCAGCAAGGCTATCATTCAAAATTGAAGGTGAAATAGAGCTTCACAGAAAAAAGAAAAAGAAAAAGGTTAAGGGAGTTTATTATCGATACTACCAAGCCAGGAGTGCAAGAAATGTTAAAGGAAAGTTTATTTTTATTTTTTTAAAATATATTTTATTGATTTTTCACAGAGAGGAAGAGAGAGGGATAGAGAGTTAGAAACATCGATGAGAGAGAATCATCGATCAGCTGCCTCTTACACACCCCCCACTGGGGATGTGCCCACAACCAAGGTACATGCCCTTGCCCGGAATCGAACCCAGGACCTTTCAGTCCACAGGCCGACGCTCTATCCACTGAGCCAAACCGGTCCCGGCGTTAGAGGAAAGTTTAAAAAGAAGAAGTAGGAAGGGAAGAAGGAACACAGGCATAAAGAATAAAAATGGCTACAAACAAGTATTTATCAATAACCTTAAACGTAAATGGATTAAATTATCCAATCAAAAGATACCAAGTGGCTGAATGGATAAGAAAACATGACCCATACATATGCTGTATACAAGAAACCCACCTCAGAACAAGGGACTCAAGCAGACTGAAAGTCAAGGGACAAAAACAATTTTTTTCAGGCAAACGAAAATAAAAAAACAAACAAACAAAAAACTAGTGTAGTAATACTTATATCT